ACTTTTAATATGGAAAGTTAATTTGTGTGCATCACATTGATGCCAAAATATTTTACCCAGAATACTTCGTTCTATCGCAGGCTGAAGTGCTGTTCTTCTATTTCTTGGTCAGTAATAATTCACAAGTTAAAGTTTGATTTTTGTTTTGAATAACTATGAATTTTAGAATACGCTTTCACTTATATTTCGAACTTATTACTTGGATGTACCTGTGCTTGGTTGTAGACCTACCGATAGATGCATGAACCCGTGCTAAAATCGGGCGTAATACATTTGAAAGTTAGTGCTATAATCCAAGATGGAACTTAGCTGAACTGCCTTAATTCCCTCAGAACTTTTATAATGGAAAACAGGTACATTAAACTTACTGGATTTGTTTCCCTGTTCATTTTAACATCAAGAAAGCAGTACATAAAGAAGAATTACGCTACTTATTTTCATTCTACATCCTCCCGTAACCATGTATTTAATTACCATCCAACTGACAGTCCAGGTTTTGTGTATCTTTCGATCTGGAGGTAAACGTTGGTATCGTTTTTAGAAATATTTTGCAGTCAGCTGTGACACTTAGACATCTGGTTATTGATCTTATCAATCGAATTAAGCTCAAGTACGTGAATAATGTAGACTGAAGTCATAAGAGAGACACACTGGCTATTCATTGAATGTTTTTAAATTTTTGCAGTAAAATTGTTTGGTATTATTCTCACCATTAAGATCCCTTTAACAATATATTCTTCACTTTCAGTGCTCAATCTAACCTGAGTACACACGTGATAGAATCGTATTACATTCATGAGTGGTATTTTCAGAACTTTTATGGAGCACCTTACACCTACGGACGTGTGATTCTTTAGATAAACTTGTCTTGCTAAATATTGATTAGGTTTCATTCTCTTGCCAGTCTAATAACTATGGCTTTCTTAGGGCAACCAAATGACCCACCATAATTGCATACCATGGCGTCAACCTGATAAAAACTCTAAATGACACGGTTGAATGGTGTGGATGTTTGCTCTGCCGGCCAATAAAACCGGAGATGTTATTTGCACAGGTTAATACTAGTCCAGCGTAGTTATCCAACTACTGTGAACCTCCTCGCTATCTCGATGGATATCAACAAAAAAACCTTTAGAATTAAATTAACAGTAATAGCGATCGACGATATCGATATAGATTGATCAGTGGCGTAGGTATCCAATGCATGGATGGGCCAGCTGAACATAAGGATTCCGTCCAGTGCATTGGGAACAATTCAACCGAGAGGCGAGAGAATCCAGCTTCCTAATTCATGTAGTCACTTTTGCTGGAGCAGGTGATATGATCAACCTTACGAAGATGGGTGGTATTCTGTCTGGAATGGCGTTTTTTGTTCGCTGTTGCGTTTGCCTTAAAAGTAGTGTACAAACAGCCTGGGTTCATGACATCTTGTTGAGAAAGGAGTAATATTCCTGAAAGGTGAGCTGCATCTTCTCTGCAATATCGTTTAGACTCATTGAGACATATCCGTGCACATCTGCCCACGAGATTAGCAGGGTAAAACGATCCGAATGCCTGGCGAATGTGAATGTATCGGAGCTGAACATTTGCGAGAGTTTCGGGATTCACAGACAAGTTTTGAGGGGGGGGGCGTTAACATAGTGCTCTGGAGCTACCATTCATTTTCATGTGAGTGTATTGCTGTAATGTTTCCTGCTCGATGACGGGATCGATCCTCCAGGTTTTTGGACGATGATGTTCCAGGCTGAAACTGGGAACTGAGTCAAAAACTTAAGTAAGACTCTCTCTCTCTCTGATTTAGCTTCATCTTCGTTTAAGGTAAGCTGACACAAAAGCCTCTCCAAGCATTAGTTTAACCAAGTCATTTTTGAGGGTTCACTCAAAACTAATACCATTCTTTCACTAATATTAGAGAATGAATAAGGTTTGTGTCATAAATATATCACTCGGCACTTTAGATGTTATATTTTCATTTCTTACAAATCCCTGACCTTCTTCAAGAAAATTATGTGGTAGCTAATGCCTAAGTTGGATTATCTTCACAATAGTGTTCAGCTCGAGCTCACTCTAATTCGGTATTTATTTGGAATCAGGAACACTGAAAGGTTGCTTCCTCCGAATTTAGGAGTCTTCATTAGTGTACAACTAATACTGCATGCATTATACTACTTAGGAGTATCAAGTATAATTGCCATCAAAGCACACTAATGAACAGTGTGTGTGGTTGGAAACTGCTTACTCTGATCTTTGGATTTCGGTGGTCAGATCAGACTGATCTACAACCTAAATAGCCATGTTGCTCGTTTGGCTTTGCGTTCATCAGTGGTGTAAACGAACAAATTCAGCTCGAAAAGCCAAACTGTTCAGATCACCTGCACCATTCTATTATTCTAAATGAAGTTGGAATACGATTTTCATTATTATCCAGCTTCTGTTAACTTCACATTTAGCGGAACTGGCGATAAACTTTAGGAATAGAAGTCTCTTTTCACTGTTAACTTAATTTCTCTCATGCATCGTGGCTTCGTATCAAAAGTCCACCTTAGAGGTAGTCATTTTGAACAAGTAGTTGTTAATTGTCTGGACTATACTATTATATAGTATTAGAAAACAAACTTGGTATTACGTGAACACCAAGAGATGCACAATGCAAAATAATAAATCTGCGTTATGAAGGCACAAGAAACGGATGAGAGCATAGGAACAAACAAAGATGTAGATTGTGGAAGGAGCCATCTCAAAGATGCATCCGAAGAGGTTATCAATGCTTTAAAAGTTTTACTTTTCGACAGTACAAAAGACAAGAAAACCTCAGCATGATCGCAACTGACTTCTATTCTGAGTCATTTCTACTACTGTCTTAACCCACTGATTTGCATAATCTCTTCGACTCAGTTTACGGAGTCATGAAAAACCTGCAGATACTAACCCAACCCGACTATTAATATAAGGGTAAAACTTGGGCACAATGGTCGACTGTAATTCTATTCTAGTCTGTTTATTAGAAATATCATACAGTGAAATAGTAGCATTTACTGGATATTTTGGGAATGATATCTGGTTTCAATTCATTAACCGCTACATTGAAGTTAAGACCTTCCTCTAGCACTTTCACTTCCAGTGAATGCTACTAACCAACCCGACTATTTTTTACTCAATACTGACACATCATACACCGGTCACCTCTAAGTTTCTTCCAATTAGTCCCAGAGTTTGTAGCGAAATGATTCATTTTAAGTCATTTCTCATTCAAAGAGATCTTATCAAAAATATAGATGCCCAAATTATTTGTTCGTTTTCCACTGGCTTAATCCATAACAACAAACAATAATTTATAAGTTTATTCAAAATCTTGTTTTTTCTTGCTAATTTAAATTCCTGAATGACAGTCATGCATCGATTCCCTGTTTCCTCAAAGAAATACTAAATTCATTTGAGATGTCATGATGTTTGTGAATTGCTTATTTTGCGAAATTGGCGCACAACAAAAAAATAACTGAATTAACATAAAAAGACCTGGGCTGGGGAAGAAACCAGAATATATCGGGAAAAATCAATATGTTGAGCAAAAAATTTTCGTTCCTGACTAGCCACTTCGTTTGAAAAGTTAATTGGCATTTGCCAGACTTAATTTTGAGCACAGTAGACAAGTTTCACATCATATTTTTAAAATCTATGATTTCCGATAATTTTCTTTACTGAAGTGAACTGATTAGCATCATTTTAAATTCATCTTGGTGACCAATGGTGGAAACCAGGATGCACGTTTCGTCCCACTTGGGGCTCGTCAGCCAGATGTACCTGCACCTCAGTGAGTGACGTCGTTCCCACCGAGACTAGAACCCTCTATTAATCATTTCAAACTCCAAAGCGTTATCCACTAGGTCACTGGGACACGGGAGACATCACTTGTGCAACGGGTATTGGTTCTTTACTGATAATTTTAATCCCCGGTTACTGTTTCGTGGCTTTTTTAACAAATGACAAATTGACCTAAGTACTCCAAATGACTGCAGTCAGACAATCATAAGATATACTTTTTTTAAGTATTTTATACGTAGACCGATGATAAGTCATAGCATACATTGTCAAGTCTTATTTCACACACAGCTACTTTTTTTACAGATAGATTATCCTGATGTCAGTAGTTCGATGCTTTCCTGCTCAAAGATTTGTCAGTTGAATATCCAGAGACTGTATAGGGACGCTATACAGTATTCCAGTACCCAGTATCCACCGAATAGGACAGTAAGCTAACTTGTTCAGATAGTATTGAAATAAAACTGATTGTTTCTAGCGTGCTTTAACAATGCTGGAAATGGTAAGTTCCAGATTCGGTTTGTATGAATAGCTTACAGACCTTAAGCATACATATTCCCTGAAAAGGTTTAGGCATGGTTTTTCTACTACAGTAGATCACAAGGCATTCTGAATGTATTCAGTATACTTTAATACTAGTAAAAGCTCAAGGTACTAAGAGTTTATCGTGAAACCAGTTCTCCAAACATTATTATTGACTGAAAGTATGATTATCTTTAGCCTAGATTAATTCTATCCGAATCTAATCAACTTTTGCGCTTCGCGAGTGCACTCAATATAGTCTGGTATTAATAACTAGCTTGATAACTGAACTATTACTAGGCAACACTTAGAATTTTTATTTGTTTACTTTATTAGTGAATTCAGTTTCTGTTTTCTATAGAAAAGAAGATGAATTCATATTATGATTGTTTTATCCGGGCACGTACTTCATGCTTAATTCTAAAAGCCTACATTTCATGGCCCATGGTATCTACAATGTTTAGCCTGAATATTTGACCTCATCATTATGATTGGTCAATTTCGATAGCGTATTTAGTTATAGATTATATAAACCAGTAATATTTTAGAATTCTTGACCTTTAGTGAAATTCCTGTCTAGTGATTGGCTAGAATTAGCTTCCAATATAATACATCGCTTTGATTGACTTAAAAATAAGAACATTTTTAAACTATTCGTCACAATACGCATTAGTTACAGCTTGTTAGTTGCTTCGTAGTGTTTACCATTTAGTGACGTAGTTATTTCCATGCTTATAATTGTCGTGTAAATAGATTTAATTCACCTTATAATCATTTACAACTATCTTATTATCAACGAGTACTGGAATTTGTAAATTCGAAAATCACATTTACACATAACATTACAATTTTGACTAGTATTTTTGGAACTTAATATTAGCTCATATCTACAAACACGCAGATACACATACATACAATCATAATAATAATATGACAGTCAGTCGTCCAAAACCAAGTGCTAGTCCATCAGATGATTCAGCAGTTGGTGATATGAATAGCAATGGGACAAGTACAACAAGTAGTAGCAATGGCGAGGCTACTTGTCCGGAAACTACTTCAACAACGACAGAAAGTCTAACTGAATCGTATACAAAATTAGCATTGAGTAAAAGACAAACATCTCTAGTGATAGAATCTACAGCTGATTCAAACGATCCAGGGTAAGTGTTTATGTATATATATATAATTGCTTGGTAGTTCTATGGATTAGTTTATTTCACTTTATCCTACTTCGATACATGTACATAATAGCTTAATGAGTTTGAGTAACTTCCCTTAGCTAAAACTACGTAATATTAGTAGCTAGGTCTTGGAATCTTTCCTTTACATTGCAAACAGTGTTTATGCTTCAAATTGTGGAAGAAAATAGGACAGATCTCACGATATATATACCACTTTGACTAACAAGCTGAACAAAGTGCAACCATAATTGGATGGTTTTAGCAGTTGTTGACTAACTTTTATGTGCTAAAGAATCGTTAATCAAGCAGAAGGACAACGCTATCTATCTGTATCTTATTTATCTGAATGGTCTACTATCAACCGCTCGGTTATATGTCACTATATTTATAGAGGTTTAGACAACCCTTCATTCGTTACCTGGCACGTGAGCTTGCAAGTGGCTGCTGAGTTCAATAAGAATAGTGTTTATCTTTATTTTATATAATTTCGTCCATACGAATATAATGCGTGATGTGGGTCGTTTGCTCGATTACCTGACTTTCAAGTGACAGATTCACGATTCGAATCCTCCCCTACCTTTGGTGCAACCAACCGGTGTCATAAGTTCACGTATTAAGTGCGACTGATAACGTGGTTTAAAGAACTTTTTTTAAAGGCAACAATTTGGACGAAGAATATTCCTTTGAATAAATTCTCTTCAGATTCTACAATTATAAAATGTATTTGTATAGTTTAAAAAGAAGCCATGTTGTGGGCAGCTACATTTTCAAAATGGAGTGAGATCTAGGGACTGTAAGGAGATCTATTTATCTTTTTAAATTAGTCAATAATGGGACAAAAAGATAACGAATAAGGTGGCAGAAGTGGCCTTTCTTTTACTCAAGGCCAAGGGAGAAGTAACTCTTGGACATATTCTTTCTGAATCCAGAGTTCAGGCTTTAGTAATCTTGTTGTGATAGCCTCCGCTATGTTGAGAACGCGTTGGTGAAATCTTACAGAAAGCTTTACCTGATAGATGATTTTTGTCGAAAAATGGTTCAAAACTATTGTAAAAATAGACACAATACTCATTCATCACTGAACACGCTTGTAACGATTTGTTGTACTTGATCTAAGCAAAGTAATCAACAGTTCAGTTGATTGCAAGTGGAGTGGATTTTAAAATCAATAGAGAAGTGGTTCAAAAGTGACGATTTTGATCACTGAATGATTCAACTGCAGTCAGTGTAGGAAAACGTGTGGTTTTGAGTATGCTTTTATGGGATTAGACAGTTTTATACCATTAGTAGTGCTAATTTCATGATTTATGTACACTTGATGAAATAAATTCCTGTGTAGATTTTACATAGACTTTTCTATTTGTCATAAAGTAAGAGCAGAAATTTGATCTTAATTGACAACAGCCAAACTGTTTTTTCCGCAGGTATTATTTTCATACACTACATTTTGAAATATCACGGGATCTGTATTACTCTGTAATTTACTGGAAAGATTATGAATGCATCAAAAAATAATAAACTTCTTCATCAGCTGAAGTTTCAGTAGACTGAAATCAGTGTTTGAAGGAAAGTTTCGTTCAACTTTCAGCTTCCAGAAATGAAAGATGGAAGACGAGTGACCTATATTATTCCTAATAACTGACAGTATTTTGTAGGCTCTGTTTCTTTTGATAATTTCCACAGAATATATTAGTACCATACATTTTAGTTGAAAATGTAACTGAATAGCTACTCATCAGGTGAAGTAACCCTTCAGAATTGAAAAAAATGACAGTGATATTTCTTTATGTCCTCTTGGGTAGTCAGTTCTAGATGGAAGAAGTAGAGAATGCATTTCGGGATGTACTTATTCCTTGAACTACCTTTAACAAGGAAAAATGATCATGCATTATCACCTTCATTACTAGATACATTTCTTCTTGCTTATTTGCGCAACGGGTTCCACACTAGGTAGGTAAGGCCAATGCAAAGAACCCGTTGGTTTGTGAACTAGATAATGGAAGAAACCTTTCAGGATTGCCTAAATCTTGTTATGTGTGTCAGTGATAGCTCTTCTGAATATAATAGTTTGAAGTCAGCCACTTATTTTAATAAACTATGGCTCCACTTTATCAGCATGTAGTGTATTTAAAACATAGTTTACCTTCAAAGTATTTTAGAATAATCGGTCACTTTTACATCTCTGACTTGTTTTTGGTAACAGTTTCCTAGTAGTGGCGAGTATGCTAATGATCATATGAAACATTGTAGCTATTATTGTTGTTTAATGAACTGCACGCAGTTCATATAACATTTTATGCAGTTGTAATTGAGAAATCCATGGTATATCTGTTCAGTTTTTCCCCATCAGGAGACCCATGTACTATCCTTTACTTTTGGAGCGTACACTTGGTTCTTAATTTATCAGGTAGGGTTAAGTTGATAAATACTAGGTGAGCGTTTTGCAACGTTTAAGTTAAAAGGTTTCTTGTACCGTTTTCAGTGTTATCCTTCGGTTCAATAAACCAGCTAATCAGTGATGACTGTGTCCCCTCTTCTTTTTGACTTCGTATAAAGAAATATTACATCTACATTAGGCAAGAAGGTTGTGACTTGCTGATCTGGGGACTCAATTTTCAACCAACAGGTCTGATATCCCAACACCGTTTCACCAGTTGGAGTTTCAGCAGATAGGTATTCTCGCTAGCCTTTACATAACAGGTATGGTACCACATGCCTGGTGCATGAACGTGCAGGTGGTTCACGAGTGGCATACTCTCTTATTTTTTTCGCTTTACACAATATTTTTAAAGGGCTGGTAATGTGAATGTAACAGATCTCGACTGATTTTAAAATGATATTTTTGAATTGTTTGTGGTTACTTTCGAGTCCTTGATCTGCACTTTTGAACCAAAAGGGTGTAATAAACAACAAGTTTCTAGTGATGACCCAAGAAACTGTGTTTGCTATTGTCGTGTCAAGCTAAATGTGTTGCGAAACATTAACAAAGTACTACAAGTATAAGACTCTTATTTCTATGTAACACTGAAACAATTCAATTTAATAATTGATATCTTACAATGTATGCATCTGAAATGTACTTTGTTTTAAATATTTCTGGCATTTTTTGAAACTCCTCCGTGATCATCTCTTCTTAATTTCAGAATAATACCGAGGATGGTAGACAGTCAAGACCTAATGTGACAACAAAGACTCATTGACTGGGTCACTAAGTCATTCCAATAAAAGAGGCGGTTAAATCCAGTGATTACTCCTTTTCACTAGTACATAACTGAAAACCTCAACCCATAACCAATGAAATAGTTGTGTTGCATTCAGATCATACTGCTGTGATTGATTGACATTTGTATCTCACTAGTTATGGTATTAAATAGGTGAACTATTCATCGGAACTATATGGTAATGATGGATAGTGGCTAGCAGTGGAATCCAGGATGCACATTTCGTCCTATTCGTGACTCGTTAGATGAATATACCTGCCTCCCAGTGAGTAATGATGTTCAAACTCGGTGGTCTAGTGAATAACACTCTGAAGTTTGGAGCCATCGGTCCCAAGTTCGAATCCCGGTGGGGATGTCACTCACTGAGAAGCAAGTACATCCAGCCGACGAGTCCCAAATAGGACGAAATGCGCACCCTGGATCCCATTATCAGCCACTATCTATCATTAATATATAGTGAAAACACAGGCAATATCGAAGCATCCGCGCAGGAGCCCACATGCCAATCGAGACTTATCAGTCTGTTCCAATCAGCGACGGTGTAATACAAGCAATAACACTGTGCACCAAAATATTTGTATTCGAGGCAACCACTAGGTGAATATTAGTGGAAGCCTTTTTGAAATCATCGTTTTTAGGTGAAAATAGACATTCAGTTTAGAAAAAATTCACTACCTAATAAACTGATTTTGAACAACTTGCCAGTTCTAAAAGAGCACTTGCCTTACAAACTTTGAGTTAATTTTGCATAGACTGGTTCAGTGTTTTCGGATATGCAAGAAGAAAACTGAGATCTATTGGAAATACCCACTGTACTATTGAGAAGACTGGTGATCAGCTTCTTTTGCACAGGTATACATTAGATGATCAGCAATAAACAGCTACCACTGTGCGAAAACAGTGATTATTACAGCAAGTTGTGAGTACTATTTCGTGGATTCAGAGACCACATCCTATCCTCTTCAAATCTAATCATCTTCATGAGGCAACACCATTATTGCTGTTTTCTTCGATTAATAAGGACTTCTAACAGACATACTATTTACCAAGCTTTACCATGTAGTTAAAGTTATCATCTGTGAATTTATTGGCTGTCATCAGTCATTTTATCTGCTGTGTTAAGCTTAGGAGGAGTAAGTACATAGACTTTGGCTAGCTGGTGCATAAACTGGTGTATTCCTGATATTTTCTTATTTACTAGTGATGGAAGAGAAAAATGCTTTTAGTCTCATTGAAAACTAATATTTATAAATCTCACCGCATATATATATATATATATATATATATATATATATATATATATAATATATATATATATACTGACCAGTTTTATTATTTTGATATTGAACCATCCGATCGATAGGTGAGATATTTGAATTCTGCTGATAAAAATTTATAATAAGTGCAGAGTGAATCTGTGTATAATAAATACTTTAGTAAGTATAACATGCATTCAGTCAGATATACAAATAGATGGTCATTTGCATATGAATGTAGTTAATTACTATAGCCATTCCGGTCAATTACTGTATATTTCAATAATGTACATGGCTAGTTTCTTCATTGTTATATATTTGTAGCAAATTTCATATTCTTTATGATCTAACTGCACATACACACACACATACAGAGTAGCTCAAATGCCAAATTGTGTAACCGAATGGATATCTCTTTCATTCTGCTTTATCTGACTTCTCTTCTTTGAAGTATCTCTGACCTTGTTCACCGACTTTTTTCGAACCAGTAGTAATAATAAAG